TCTCTGTCTCTCTCTCTCTCTCTCACACTCACACACACACACTCTCACTCTCTCTCACTCACACACACACACACTCGCTCTCTCTCACACACACACACACAGTCTCTCTCTCTCTCACTCTCTCTCTCTCTCTCTCTGTCTCTCTCTCTCTCTCTCACACTCACACACACACACTCTCACTCTCTCTCACTCACACACACACACACTCGCTCTCTCTCACACACACACACACAGTCTCTCTCTCTCTCACTCTCTCTCTCTCTCTCTCTGTCTCTCTCTCTCTCTCTCACACTCACACACACACACTCTCACTCTCTCTCACTCACACACACACACACTCGCTCTCTCTCACACACACACACACAGTCTCTCTCTCTCTCACTCTCTCTCTCTCTCTCTCTGTCTCTCTCTCTCTCTCTCACACTCACACACACACACTCTCACTCTCTCTCACTCACACACACACACACTCGCTCTCTCTCACACACACACACACAGTCTCTCTCTCTCTCACTCTCTCTCTCTCTCTCTCTGTCTCTCTCTCTCTCTCTCACACTCACACACACACACTCTCACTCTCTCTCACTCACACACACACACACTCGCTCTCTCTCACACACACACACACAGTCTCTCTCTCTCTCACTCTCTCTCTCTCTCTCTCTGTCTCTCTCTCTCTCTCTCACACTCACACACACACACTCTCACTCTCTCTCACTCACACACACACACACTCGCTCTCTCTCACACACACACACACAGTCTCTCTCTCTCTCACTCTCTCTCTCTCTCTCTCTGTCTCTCTCTCTCTCTCTCACACTCACACACACACACTCTCACTCTCTCTCACTCACACACACACACACTCGCTCTCTCTCACACACACACACACAGTCTCTCTCTCTCTCACTCTCTCTCTCTCTCTCTCTGTCTCTCTCTCTCTCTCTCACACTCACACACACACACTCTCACTCTCTCTCACTCACACACACACACACTCGCTCTCTCTCACACACACACACACAGTCTCTCTCTCTCTCACTCTCTCTCTCTCTCTCTCTGTCTCTCTCTCTCTCTCTCACACTCACACACACACACTCTCACTCTCTCTCACTCACACACACACACACTCGCTCTCTCTCACACACACACACACAGTCTCTCTCTCTCTCACTCTCTCTCTCTCTCTCTCTGTCTCTCTCTCTCTCTCTCACACTCACACACACACACTCTCACTCTCTCTCACTCACACACACACACACTCGCTCTCTCTCACACACACACACACAGTCTCTCTCTCTCTCACTCTCTCTCTCTCTCTCTCTGTCTCTCTCTCTCTCTCTCACACTCACACACACACACTCTCACTCTCTCTCACTCACACACACACACACTCGCTCTCTCTCACACACACACACACAGTCTCTCTCTCTCTCACTCTCTCTCTCTCTCTCTCTGTCTCTCTCTCTCTCTCTCACACTCACACACACACACTCTCACTCTCTCTCACTCACACACACACACACTCGCTCTCTCTCACACACACACACACAGTCTCTCTCTCTCTCACTCTCTCTCTCTCTCTCTCTGTCTCTCTCTCTCTCTCTCACACTCACACACACACACTCTCACTCTCTCTCACTCACACACACACACACTCGCTCTCTCTCACACACACACACACAGTCTCTCTCTCTCTCACTCTCTCTCTCTCTCTCTCTGTCTCTCTCTCTCTCTCTCACACTCACACACACACACTCTCACTCTCTCTCACTCACACACACACACACTCGCTCTCTCTCACACACACACACACAGTCTCTCTCTCTCTCACTCTCTCTCTCTCTCTCTCTGTCTCTCTCTCTCTCTCTCACACACACGCACCCATCCAGTCACCTATAGGAGTCTGCAGTGTGCACGGTCTCTGATAATATCATTATCGATGTGTTTATTGACGTTATGAAGTGTACGTCACTCACTTTCACTCTGATGTAGAGCAGCAGAAGCAGAACGCAGTTAGAATGACCTCAAATCCGATATATGGGGCAATAATAACCGTACGAGTATCCGTCTCATATTCGTGTCATGACGGTTTAGTTGATGTTATTCATCAGTTTGATTAACAAGAATGTGGGTTAATATTGTTAGAGCTACAGTTAGGTTTTAGATACAGTATGTCTGTTTTTACTCTATTTCACCAATGAAAACAGTTCCAAACCTAGCCCCAGCAGAACGGTTGAGCTCAGAGAAGCACAGCGGGGATTGATTACTGCTTCAGTCAGTGTTATTAACAACTCGCTGGAATGGATGATTCAATGGCTCGTTCATTAAGACGGTGGCCACGTACTGGCATTTTTAGTTTCATATATAAAGTATTTCATTTTTCTGAATCATCATGAGCGCTCAGTCCAGCTGAAGCAGTGAATGTGTGCTGTGATGTCAAACACCCATCGCTCTGCAGCGCCGCTTTAAGTCTTCTGTTTGGGGAGTTCGGTGAGTTCCGTCGTGAAATACACGTCGTTAAAGCCGACCAATCAGGTTGTGAACGTATCACTGTCTCTTCTTTAGGTTCGCTGTCAAAAATGCCAGTGTGAACGCTAAACGGACCGGGACCAAATGTATCCTTTTATTTTTTTGTTCCGGACCAAATGAACCAAGAGAGTTGAACTACGTGAGAACGCTCCCTCATGTTCGTCTTCATCACAGAGTTGAAGATATCCGGGTCAGAATGATTCCGCTGGTCCAGTGCCCTCTTCCGTTTCTTTCTCAAGCCTCTGTCTGGAGTGTGTGTGTTTGGTGACGGCTTGGGTTTTATATTTATATCTGAAGGTAAATTCTATTCATCGAGTCCTTTATCAACAACGGTGATCTGTGTCATAATCACCAGCCCAGTACTTTTGCTGCGACACACATCTGCACCTCTGCACCTCTGGCTGATTCAAACACGCTCAGTCGCAGTACTCTGGTCAAAGCAAACTTTAAACGGTTCTTGCAGCCGCGAGACCTCACGGTGTTGCTATGGTTACCCCTATGGATGGGTACTGGTTCCCTCTCACACTGAAGCAGCTTGCAGCACAGCAGTATGCATGTCCTTTGTAAGCAGTGAAAATGTCAATCACACCTGTACAATCACTGAAGCGACACACACACACACACACAACGAATCGCTTATTTACACCATGTTATAATGAGAGGAAGTGTGAGACTTCCTTCAGCAGATTTCTTCTGTGTTCATGTGATTGGCTACAGTGCTCAGAGCTGCAGAGCACACGCAAAGCACGCAATGACTGGCAACTTTAACATGTGAAAGGATACTATGGCAAAGTTATCGCTTTCTTTATTCAAACTGATTTTTTTTTCATGAATATATGGTTGACCTGAAGAATGAAAGCTGTATCATACACTTGGAAAAGTATGAGCTATATCACAGCTTATCGACACTAGGTGTGTGACAATACACTGAGCTCACGAGATGAGACAAAATACAGATACTCGCTTCACTAGAACCAGACAATGTTTTAATACTAGTTTTAAGAAATTTTTAAGTTTGCAAAGCTCCGCTGCTTTTTAATGAGTTATTCTATGTAAGTATGCGCTAGATGGACATCTTTGACCTTTGTGTGGCGCTTCTCCATTCATCAGCTGCGACTCTGCAGTTGGATACTATTATGCGTGTCGTGTTTATAAGAGCAAAACATTCTGACTGGCTAGTAATGTTAGTTTGGTTGAGAGTGAAAGCTGTGCTCCTCTCGTACCATTGGTAGGCGAACTCATGGACTCGAAAGTGATATCTAGCAACAAGATTTTTTTTTAAATGTAGGACTATTTTTTCCCGCAGCCAACTGCTGCACGCCAGAGATCCGGCACGGTGCCGGAGACCTTTAAGCCCTGTGTTTGTGATGCTGTCTGCTGGAGTGTGACACGATCACAGTGAGCAGCACACAACACATCAGTGCTGTCATTCAAACAGCTGTTCACACTAACACTGAATGAAGCCACTGCAGCAGCACCTGCACAGACCTCAGCGCTGCTCAACAATGAGTGAGTGAGTGAGTGAGTGAGAGTGTGTGTGTGAGTGTGTGTGAGTGAGTGTGCAGCAGCTGAACACATCACACACATCCGTGAACACACAAACATCACAGACACAGCCAGTGAGCGCACACTTGACATGAATACACAGGCACTGATGGGAGTCTAGACTCGTCACGTGTCCTGAGCTGACCTCCGCTGATGGTGATGGACTGTGATGTCAGAGCTGTGGACTTCAGCTGGACCGCTGCTCTGAGCAATCAGAAGCAGTGCAGAAGTGACTCCAGAGGAAGCTGCGGTCAGACTGACTGAACTCTTGTATAAAAGCAGCGTGACTCTCACAATCACAATCATCAGTCATGTGATCAGGTACTGTGATTCAGCATATTATAATGAGCTCTTCACTACAGTGAAGCCCATAAGAGCTAGACATACCTGAGGGGCTTCATTCAGCCTAAACCAACCTTGCTTTCACTGGAGTAAACGTGGAGGAACCATGTTTTCTGGTGGACTGATTACCATGTGTATAAGCAGTTTTACTACAAACACCATGGTTAAACTGTGCATGCTGTAGTAAACCCATGGTTTATTTGTGGTTCCCGTGGTTTAACTATATTAACCTCCTTCCTTTTTTTGAAGTAAAACCAAAACCAAATTTGAGGTTACCATGGTTTAACAATAGTAACCTGTGATTACCATGGTTTAACTAGAGTAACCTTTTTTGTAGTAAACCCATGGTTAATGAATGGTTACTGTGGTTTGACTCTAGTATTTAGTGTGTATTTGCAGTAAAAGCAGGGTGAATATCTGGTCAGATCGATCGGGTTGTACTCACATCTCAGTCATGATGTCGTTTAAATGAACCCCGTCCACTAAAGTCATGAAGTCGGAGAGATGAGAGCCTCCGGAGCCCAGCGGAGAGACCGTCTTCACCTACACACACACACACACAGACACACACACACAGACAGACACACACACACACAGACAGACACAGACAGACACACACACACACAGACAGACACAGACAGACACACACACACACAGACAGACACAGACAGACACACACACACACAGACAGACACAGACAGACACACACACACACAGACAGACACAGACAGACACACACACACACAGACAGACACAGACAGACACACACACACACAGACAGACACAGACAGACACACACACACACAGACAGACACAGACAGACACACACACACACAGACAGACACAGACAGACACACACACACACAGACAGACACAGACAGACACACACACACACAGACAGACACAGACAGACACACACACACACAGACAGACACAGACAGACACACACACACACAGACAGACACAGACAGACACACACACACACAGACAGACACAGACAGACACACACACACACAGACAGACACAGACAGACACACACACACACAGACAGACACAGACAGACACACACACACACAGACAGACACAGACAGACACACACACACACAGACAGACACAGACAGACACACACACACACAGACAGACACAGACAGACACACACACACACAGACAGACACAGACAGACACACACACACACAGACAGACACAGACAGACACACACACACACAGACAGACACAGACAGACACACACACACACAGACAGACACAGACAGACACACACACACACAGACAGACACAGACAGACACACACACACACAGACAGACACAGACAGACACACACACACACAGACAGACACAGACAGACACACACACACACAGACAGACACAGACAGACACACACACACACAGACAGACACAGACAGACACACACACACACAGACAGACACAGACAGACACACACACACACAGACAGACACAGACAGACACACACACACACAGACAGACACAGACAGACACACACACACACAGACAGACACAGACAGACACACACACACACAGACAGACACAGACAGACACACACACACACAGACAGACACAGACAGACACACACACACACAGACAGACACAGACAGACACACACACACACAGACAGACACAGACAGACACACACACACACAGACAGACACAGACAGACACACACACACACAGACAGACACAGACAGACACACACACACACAGACAGACACAGACAGACACACACACACACAGACAGACACAGACAGACACACACACACACAGACAGACACAGACAGACACACACACACACAGACAGACACAGACAGACACACACACACACAGACAGACACAGACAGACACACACACACACAGACAGACACAGACAGACACACACACACACAGACAGACACAGACAGACACACACACACACAGACAGACACAGACAGACACACACACACACAGACAGACACAGACAGACACACACACACACAGACAGACACAGACAGACACACACACACACAGACAGACACAGACAGACACACACACACACAGACAGACACAGACAGACACACACACACACAGACAGACACAGACAGACACACACACACACAGACAGACACAGACAGACACACACACACACAGACAGACACAGACAGACACACACACACACAGACAGACACAGACAGACACACACACACACAGACAGACACAGACAGACACACACACACACAGACAGACACAGACAGACACACACACACACAGACAGACACAGACAGACACACACACACACAGACAGACACAGACAGACACACACACACACAGACAGACACAGACAGACACACACACACAGACAGACACACACAGACACACACACACAGTCAGACACACACACACACAGTCAGACACACAAACACACACACACACAGAGAGAGAGAGAGAGATGAGGCTCAGCACACCATCGCGGCGCGGCGCGGCAGATCCGCTCTTCACCCACCCAGCACACCAGAGGAGAGCGCAGAAAATCCTCCAGCAGAGGCGTGAAAGCGTCGCGCTGCATCGTGTCCATCGCGTGGGAATGAAGCGGCGGTGTCTGGAGCAGGATTGTGTCTATAACGCGCTCCTCATCCTGTCGCTCGCGTGGCTTTCCTCCGCGTCCCGCAGCCGTGAGCAGATCCTCGCGCTTATTCTCCGCCGGACGAGCGCGGCGCGATCGGTGCCTTCATCCCGAATGAGACGCCGCTGTTTCCCGTTAGATTCGCGTGACGTGTCGAGCTTCTAGCGGCAGGAGCGCGTGCGTGCGTGGCGAACAAAGCGCCGCCTGTGAGCTACTACAGCAAGCGCACTAACGAGGGCACGGGTTCAGCGCTCCGCCTCCGCCACACATCACGGGAACGAAGCGCACTGCACTACATAGACTGCACGGATACACAGCGCCTGCAGCTGCAGTGTCGACGCCTCCAGCGCGCTTCTCGTTTCCTCCATTCATTCACAACATAACGGGTACAGCAGCATACATACTGCGCGTGTGCGCCATGAGAACACACCCACTGCTGCCCCCTCAGCAGGCAACACCCGCACAGTCTGGAAACACTCACACAAACACCGACTCTGAGTGAGCAGCGCTGCGTTATAACGCGTCAGGCAGCAGGACGCGCGCAAACACGAGCAGTGCGCACGCGACGCGACACACACACACACACACACACACACACACGCACACTCCGCCAGTAAATATGATGAAGCCAGAATGGACTGATGATGAGCAGATGCAGTGTGAAGCTCTCGTGGTCGTGTGATCTTCCTCGCGTCTGTCTGAAATCACTGGTTTCTCCTGTGTTTTCTGATCGAGTGTGTAGATCTGAATATTGTGTCAGGTTTGGTGGTGTGGGTAGGTTAAGGGTGGGTTAAGGACAGGTTTGGTGATGTGGGTAGGTTAGGGTAAGGTTATGGTCAGGTTTGGTGGTGTGGGTAGGTTAAGGGTTGGTTAGGGTCAGGTTTGGTGGTGTAGGTAGGTTAAGGGTTGGTTAAGGACAGGTTTGGTGGTGTGGGTAGGTTAAGGGTTGGTTAGGGTAAGGTTATGGTCAGGTCTGGTGGTGTGGGTAGGTTAAGGGTTGGTTAGGGACAGGTTTGGTGGTGTGGGTAGGTTAAGGACAGGTTTGGTGGTGTGGGTAGGTTAAGGGTTGGTTAAGGACAGGTTTGGTGGTGTGGGTAGGTTAAGGGTTGTTTAGGGTAAGGTTATGGTTAGGTTTGGTGGTGTGGGTAGGTTAAGGACAGGTTTGGTGGCGTGGGTAGGTTAAGGGTTGGTTAGGGTAAGGTTAGGGACAGGTTTGGCGGTGTGGGTAGGTTAAGGGTTGGTTAAAGGGTCAACGGGTCAGTTTGATTATTATACGGGAACACGGTTCAATCTGTTTATATTATATTGTTTTGATAAATTAAGTATTTTCTTGAAGAACTGATATGTTTTCTGCTGTTGATGTGTGATTAAAGGAATATTCTTTTTAATGATATACAGTCGTATACTAATATAAGTGTTGAGGCGAGCATTTAGCTAAACTTAACTAACCACTCTTTACACAAGCGTTGTTACAGCAGCTAAAATTCCAGCGCCCATAAACATACTAAAAGATTAGTAAACATTTACAAAGGATGAATAGTCTCAACTTTAGATTGACTATTGCAGAAACATGAACAAATTAATAAATTATTTGTTAAGATGTGAAAACAGTAGTCTACACAACAAACAGACCAAATATATGGCCTTTACAGACTGTGATTATGAGTTAATGAATAATATATGATAACATGAATTGTTTAATGAATAGTTAAGTGCTTAAAAAGAGCATTAGGTAATACGTGAATGAATGGAGGTTTAGTGACATTTGTTAGCATTTAAAAGTACATTCATAAATAATCTTGTAATAATTTCTGCTAAAATTATTTGTAGGTTTTTAAAAAGTGGATGATCATATGAACTGAAAGTTTAATTAATGATCTGCTAATCATTATATAATGTTTGTTAATGAAAGTTATTATAAAGTGTCGTCATCATTTGTGCCTAAACATGTGAAATGTGTGGTTACTGTTGGAGAGAGCCCATGTTTCTCATGGGAAGAATGTCTCTGTCTGTACAGTAGAGTAATGATCTGGAGCACACGGGGTTTATGAAGAATAATGAGATGATCAGGAGCTGTGTTCAGACCCAGAGAGCACAGCAGACGGTCTCTGTTCAGCTGGAAACCGCTCGAGTGCCTGGGACTTACAGCCCAGAGCTTCCACAAGCTGCAGCGGAGGAGTCTCGGAGGCAGTCCTGCCACAGCTGAAGGAGATGCAGATGGACATTCAGAGCCAAAGGACATCAGGGAGTCCAGAAACAAATCAGAGAAAGTCTTGTAAAAACAAGTATTATCCTTACTCGAGTATAACACAAATCTGCAATACACAACTGGAATAATTCGCAATATTTAAGGCTGGAATACACTACTCAACTTTTAAAATCTGAAGACTTTCATCATACACTTACAGACTTTGTATTAGTCACAAAGGAAAAACTGTCCATCATGCACACGATGACTGAGGATCACACACCAGACAAATAACACTGCTTCTTACAGAGGATTTGAGCAGCATCTTGAGCTGCAGGTGGAGGTTACGGTTAGGGGTTTGGTGGTCACTTCTCTAGCAAAGCTTGGGCTCTGTTGGCCTGGGCTGTGGTGTTTGATTTTGGGTTATTAGTTGTGACTCTTGTTCTGTCTGATACTTTAACATCATGTGTCCGAGAAACTGTCGTTTCTTGGTTTTATATTGTTAATAAACGTTTTTGTTGTAACCTTACGAACCCTCCTACAGTGTCCTCCTTTCATTTGTCATGGCTCTGAGCAACAAAACTCACTCGGAAACGTGCTCCTTGTTGCTAAGTTTTCTCAATTCGGCTCAAAAGGTCAAACATGTCTGATCTCCTTCCACAGAGTTCGTGCAGAGCTCTGGCTTACCTGGACGCAGTCCTTCTCTGATTTACACTCATCACAGCAGGTCTACTTTATAGTGAATAAATAGGATATCTTACTTTTTTAAATATAGTCCGGAAAAACTAGTTTAATAAAGTTTTAATTAAGAAATAAATTGTTAATTTAGTACCATTTAGTTAATTAGCATTAGTAAACAGATTATATTATATGAACTAATATAACTTATAATGAGCGATACATTTGTTACAGTATTTATCCATCTCTGTTAATGTAGTCACCCTCCTGTTTGTTTTTGCCATTGACTGAATAATGAAGAGGACCTGGACTTTACTGACACCCTGCACTTCTCTCCCACAACAAGAACACTGATGTAGTGACAACTATTTCATCTCAGATTGGCCTCAACGTGAACAGAGACAGACCCAGATCCTCAAGATGAAATGCACAAGGGTCCAGTCATGCCAACAGAAGCCCCTCGGTCTGGAGACTCCAGTTCTGTGTGCGGTCGGCTTCTGTCTGCATGCTCAGGCTTGGATATGGTCACCTTTGTATTTGTCCAGTACTGTGGACCGGATCAGCTGCACTGGTACGCTCACGTAACTGTGCTCGTATGCACTTCTGCTGCTTTCTCGAGACAGCCGTGGCCATCCTTCACATCTTCAGGACTCCTTGTATGATGTGTAGGAGATCGCCAGACCAGAGATTTCCAGCCCTGTTCCTGGAGTCTCCTCAATCAAACACACCAGATTCAGCTCACGGTGCTGTGCTCAGTCTCCCGCACACCCTCACTCAGGATCTCTACATTACTGCACTGATACCGTCCTGAAGGAGCGGAGGGGCTGCTGCTTTAGCATTGCATTCTGTCACGGTAATACTAGCATGTATTAACCACAATCAAATGTCTGTATGATATTACACTCTAAAAAATGCTGGGTTAAATACAATTTTTTTTTTTAGAGTGTACGCTGTACCCACATTTGGAAAATGGGTGCACTCGATATGTCCACTGGTTTCGGACACCACTACAAACAGTGCCCTATTTAAGGGTACAGGACCTGAATAAATGTGCAGTGTTGGGGGCCGCCGGTCCAGACCTCCAGAGTACACTTCTCACGTTCTGCACTCATTACTGATCACAGTCATCACACTCCAGCGTCAACTGTCCTTCTGTTAGTACACACACTCAAACATCACAAAATACTGAACAACCCTGTTTAACTGCAGGACCAAATTTAATCTGAAAATTGTAAAAATATCAAATTGATACAAATGCTCTTTAACGGAGATGGTGCTAGTAGGAAAGTGTAGAAAAACGAGGGGGAAAACAAAAACAGCTTTTAATATTTAATCTGAGCATCTGGCAGTCGAGTGCGATCAGCTTGTGTTCTGCGAGACAGAAGAGCCCAAAGCTCGGAGATCAGAGAAGCGTTACACCGCTGCAGTGCACATGCTTCATCTCCGCCGCACACAAACCTAAACATTTCACTGCAATTTCATGTGTTTTAAAATCTTCTAGCCTGAAATACAGACGTCTGAGAATAAAGGTTAATACGGTCTCACTGGAGAAACACAGGCGTCCAGAGGAAAGCAGTAAGAAAGAAGCAGCCACTGTACAGCTCTCATACACATCTGCCCACAGCGCTGAGCTTCACCATCACAGCAGCCCGCGAGTCCCAGAGTCTGAGCCAGTCCAGCTTCACTAGCGCGGCTAGTCCTGCTAGCGTGTGCGGCTCACTGGAGAGCAGACCGCTGAGCTCCTCAGGTTCAGGTGGGGTGAGCACAGCGCTACAGCGGGCTTTACGAGCCCAGACGAGGCCTCTTGTGTGACGCCTGCTCCTCGTCATCGCTCTCCTCCTCGTCTTCATCATCAGAGTAGTCCACGAGCCCCAGCGGTCCGGTCTGAGGAGCACAGGCAGCTTTAGAAGAGAGCACAAGCTGCTCAGACGCTGCGAGTCGATGGGAACAAGCGTGACGTACCCGGGCCGTCTGGCCTGAAGGTGGCGCTGCAGGTGTGGAGCCGCTGGAGGAAGCGGAGGGGGGAGCTCCTGCAGAATGAGAGAACCGGAACTTAAAGCTGCCCGTCGTCGTCCGCTTGGGCTGGCTCTCCTTGTCCTGACCTTCTTTAGCTGAAAGCAGAAAACAGACACGTGACAGGAAGAGCGCCGCGGGGAACACTAGCAGCTTCCAGCTGTCCGCAGGTCTCATGATGCTCAAGGCACACTTTAGAAAGACATCCGGAAGACCAAGAAAAGATCATTTAATAAGAAAATGTCTTATTAGCAACACTTCAATGTTTGGAAAAACAACTAACCTTTTAATTCATTTTGCAATTAAATAAAAAGCTCAAGACTTGAATATCTCTGCTTGAAACACCAGTATATGGAGATAACGTTTGCTCACACTGCAAACAAGTGATGTTATTCCTCGCTTTCTGCAAACCTCCACAGATTCTTAAAGCAAGATACATTTACTTGAGAAGATAAATGACCAAATAAGAACGATAAAGCGGAGAGTTCCGGTGCTTGATTCTGATTGGCTGAGCCGCGTTCGAAGCTGTTGTAAATGACGCTACAAAGTAACACACACCTTTGTTTACGTTTGTGTGTTGCTCGGCAACCACTTTGTAGCAACCACAACTGTTTCTGAGGAGCTACATTGTTTGCTGGAAGAATACTGTGTTTATTAATATCATTTTATTTGCTCGGTTTTATTTTGTGTAACCTTACTACGTATATGGAATAACCGTTTTATAAAAGCAGTAACCCCCGTGAAGCCGTGGTTTACAGTGAATTTATAATAGCTAAGGGGGTTTTAGGCACTCCGCTTCGCCGCTTAGCGGTTATAAATCCACTGTAAACCACGGCTTCACGGGGATTATTGCTTTCGTCTTTTTTAATGAGAAACTGATCAAAGTGAAGTTTGCAGAAAAATCACCGTAACTGACTGGGGAACACACGTTTTCATTCCCCACAGGCAGATATTAGTTCTTGTTTCAGGAGCATGAACTCCATTTCGTTCAATTTCTCAGAGAACAAAACGTATGTTCATATTGCGTCTCAAGTAAATGTTTCTTGATTTAAGTATGTTTAGGTATCTGCATTGGAAAACAAGACAAAAATACCGAGGAAGACTTTCATATCTTTGCAGTGCATGTAACATCTCATGAGTTTTCTTGATTTGTGGACGGCTGAATCAAGACTTCAGGAGCTGCAGGACCTCTGCTAGATCCAGTACCTTTCTCGCTCTCCATGAACTTCCCGTAGTCGCTCTTGCACTTGTCCAAGCCGGTGTCAGCGGTCTCCTCGTCTTCATTCAGCCACATGTCCTCGTCCTCATCAAAGGAGCGGGCGTCCCTGCGGCACCTGTGAGAGGTTCACTGGTCTGTTAGCAGCAGTCAGTCTGAAGGAATGAATGAAGGAAGGAAGATGCAAGGCTGAGGTGTGGGCACCTGCTGAGTCCTCGGCTCTGACGCTGCTTCTCCTGCTCATAGCGGCCCTTCAGGCCCTTGAAGGTCTGCACGTACTCGATGGACTCCAGCGCCGTGTAGAAGTTGTCCACGATGTGCTCAATCAGAGATCTGCTGTCCTCCTGATGAGGGAAGGGCAGCGGTCAGACTCGAGCGGATCAGACTGTGTTCTGCAGAGGCTCCACTCACCACTCTGATGAACTCGAAGAGCTCGATGATGGCCGAGTTCAGCAGGTTGTATCTGGTGCCGTTGTCCAGCAGTGCGCTGATGACCGGCTCAAACAGGTTTCCTTTCACGATGTAGTGGTTGTAATACTCATCCTTCAGTCCAATGATTCTCCTCATGAAGCGCAGCGCACCTGCACAATCACATGAGCAGCTCACAACCAACCTGACACAAGAGTGTGTGAGTGAGTGTCTGTGTGTGTCTGTGTCTGTGTGAGAGTGTGTGTGAGTGAGAGTGAGAGTGTGTGTGTGTGTGTGAGTGTGAGAGAGTGAGTGTGTGTGTGTTGTATCTGGTGCCGTTGTCCAGCAGTGCGCTGATGACCGGCTCAAACAGGTTTCCTTTCACGATGTAGTGGTTGTAATACTCATCCTTCAGTCCAATGATTCTCCTCATGAAGCGCAGCGCACCTGCACAATCACATGAGCAGCTCACAACCAACCTGACACAAGAGTGTGTGTGTGTGTGTGTATGTGAGTGAGTGAGTCAGTGTGTGTGTGTGCGAGTGTGTGAGTCAGTGTGTGTGTGTGTGAGTGAGTCAGTGTGTGTGTGTGCGTGTGAGTGAGTGTGTGTGTGTGAGAGTGTGTGAGAGAGAGAGTGTGTGAGAGAGAGAGAGTGTGAGAGAGAGAGTGTGTGAGAGAGAGAGAGTGTGAGAGAGAGAGTGTGTGAGAGAGAGAGAGTGTGAGAGAGAGAGTGTGTGAGAGAGAGAGAGTGTGAGAGAGAGAGTGTGTGAGAGAGAGAGAGTGTGAGAGAGAGAGTGTGTGAGAGAGAGAGAGTGTGAGAGAGAGAGTGTGTGAGAGAGAGAGAGTGTGAGAGAGAGAGTGTGTGAGAGAGAGAGAGTGTGAGAGAGAGAGTGTGTGAGAGAGAGAGAGTGTGAGAGAGAGAGTGTGTGTGTGTGAGAGTGTGTGAGAGAGAGTGCATGAGAGTGTGTGAGAGAGAGAGTGTGAGAGAGAGTGTGTGTGTGTGCGTGCGTGTGTGTGTGTGTCAGTGTGTGTGCGTGTGAGTGAGTCAGTGTGTGTGTGTGTGCGTGCGAGTGTGTGTGCGTGCGTGCGAGCTAGTGTGTGTGCGTGCGTGCGAGCTAGTGTGTGTGCGTGTGAGAGAGTGTGTGTGCGTGCGAGTGTGTGTGTGAGAGTGAGTCAGTGTGTCTGTGTGCGTGCGAGTGTGTGTGCGTGCGAGTGTGTGTGTGAGAGAGTGTGTGTGCGTGCGAGTGTGTGTGTGTGAGTGAGTCAGTGTGTGTGAGAGAGAGTGTGTGAGAGAGAGTGTGTGAGAGAGTGTGTGAGAGAGTGTGTGAGAGAGAGTGTGTGTGCGTGCGAGTGTGTGTGCGTGAGTGTGTGTGAGAGAGAGAGTGTGTGAGAGAGAGAGTGTGTGTGTGTGTGAGAGAGAGAGTGTGTGTGTGTGCGAGTGTGTGTGCG